ATTTGCTTTCAACAAACTGATTTTTCCTGATTAAAATTTTCACTGAACTCAGAAAAAACCCAAGGTTTAGAGTGATGATGTGAATAGAGCATGAATCAGGCCCTGCAGTTTTATTATCAAATCCTCAGATGGAAGATATCTTTATTTACTGATGCAGCTGATGCAGCTGAATGGTTCATTTAAACAGATACATGTATCTAGGACCTGTGTACCACCCCCTCCCCTCCCTCCCCCTTTTTTTTTTACAATAGCTGCAGGAAGTGTCATGGATGCCATTCACATCCAACTAAATTAAATGCCAAGCAATCACTTTCCAATTAAACCGCCATTTTAGAAATAGTTGAGTGTGTTCACTATGTCTCTCAGTGGAGCTGAGGAGGACAAACTGAAGAATGGCTAACTTAAAAGGTCTGAGTAACTGGATGTTGCAGAGCTGCCCACTGCATATGGCAGCACAAGACTGCCTATAGGGCCAGGAAGTCCTTGTCTGCCTACAGTTATGCAAGCAGCTGTTTCGTCCTTTCAGAGCCCTGAGTGGAATGAGTACTCACAGTTGTGGCATCCTGCTCCCTTGGGTAAAGAAGGATTGCATTTCAGCCTTCCCTTAGCTGAGAATGAAGAGATGCAATTCTGCTGTACGGTGTTGGTCAGGCCTGTTACTTTGATAATGAAATCTGAGCGATCTTGTTCCTTCCATTTTTTATCATGAGCTGCTTAGATTGTTTCTCCTAGTTACATTTTGTTGCTTGAAGGGGATGGCAGCTTCTCTTTTTTTCCTATAGTGACGTCGTTGGGAGATTGCAGATCAGCACAACTCCTTTTCCTGGGAAAGAAAATGGAAGGAAGCAGCAACTTCTGCTTCTTCTGGTAGCTGATATACTTACCTTGATGATGATAGCTCTACCACACCACTGAAAAGTGTTTGCCAGGCTATGCAGCTCAAATGTGTTTTAATAGACATGTGAAGGAGGCTAGGGTGGTGATTTATGTTATGTGGAGGTACATGTTAATACAAATACAGCATAGGAGGAAACATAGAAGTGCTTGAAACAAAATTTGGTTTGACAATGGTGCAGGAATCACTGGGAGAAGAAAAGGGGTGGAGGTGATTTTCTCTTTGCAGTACATTGAGGTATGACTATAGCAGGAGCAGACATGACAACCCAGAGGTTGATGGCCCAGACAACACTGATCCACAGTCATTAAAATACAAATTCAGTATCCCTAATAAGCCCATACTCCAGTCCATCCCAATGCATCTTCATAGCTTTTGTTGTGTTGCATAAATTAAAGGTAATTAAGATATGCTGTGATTACATGTTTGCATTTTTCTGTTTAAAGGCAAGGTAAGGTTAAGATGGCTCTGAAGTGATAGAAGGGAAAAAATACAAGGGTAACACAAGGTCAGTGAGCTGATAGGATTTTAGCAGTTTCAATGAATTTGGAGGACAGAAGGGAACAGAGTTAAACTCATTGTGGACAGAAATGAAAGGCAGCAGTGCCAAAGATGTGAAATGGTCATCAAACACTAAAGAGAGATGATGAAGTAATGATGAGGAAGAGCAGCGGAGCCATGAGTCCAGGACTTCACATCAATTGTTGAATCAGGAGTGAGGAGATAAGAGACTTCCAGATCAGATACAAACTTCTGAGATAAAGAGCTTTGAATGGTGCATTTTTCACACTTTGCATCACCTAGCTCTTCAGCTGTGCTCCCTCAGCTGGAATATCTTTGTGGTAGCAGGGAGATTGCATATAAAGTAGAAGACAAGAAAACAGGACAACTTCTTGTTTGCAGAGCAGTGTTCTCTAAAGCAAAAGTATTAAAGCTATCTTTTGGAGTTGGACATGGACAGTACATCTTTATTTGGTGGCTAAGTAATTTATCTGTCCTAAATGTGTCTGGAAATTTGTGAAAGAGTATGAAAAACAATCCTTCATATTCTTCTAATTAGCATACCTTTCTATGTTTCTTTTCTTTGTCTGCATGTTTTTGGTGCTAGCAGGGGGGTTGGAAGGAGATGATCTTTAAGGTCTCTTCCATCCCATACCATTCTATGATTCTATGAAACCTTTCTACTTTCTCTTATTCCTTACCATTGTTTACATCATTGCTAGGTTCAAGACAGTATCTATCTCCAGAATAAAAATGAACAAAACCAGAAAGATAAGGTACTAGCATTTCTCAGAGCCTTTTTTCTTTTCCTTCAAGATTTTTAGAATTGGAAAGATAGAAAAATTTTACACTGGGATGGTTTACAAAATGGGCTTCCTGAGATTTTTAAATGATGCTGCAGAGAAGGCTTCAAAAACTGAGAAGACCATATTTCCTGGAGCAGAGAAAAAAGGTTGGAAGTGGTTGTTCACACTATCATCTAGAAAGAAAAGTATTTACATAGCACTACACCCATGGGAGAAAGAAGAAAAAAAAAAAAAGCAAAACTATGATCAATACGGCAATGTACTGTGATAACAAAAACTCCTCTTTAAAAATATATATAAGAAATAAGCATACCATCAACATTGCTATACATCACACACATTGCACCAGTCAAACCAAAATAGCCTAGTAACTAACATTCTTAGTTTCATCTTAAGGCAAACCAGGTAAAATGCATGAAGCTAACACTACCACCTCAGCTAATCCACAGTAATTTACTGAGTTGTTATACAGAATACATGTAGCTGTGTTAACAAGCCAAACCTTCTTTCAAAAATAGAAAAAGTGTAATAGAATAGGTTAAATTTCACTTACATATGATAGTGGTATTTCACTCGTGTTAGTGGTATTAAACCACATAATTTTGGAGTATTCTCTTTATAGCTACTTGAACTTGCATGAGTATGAAGTTACTTGAACTAGCTTGTCTATTTGAACTAGCTTGCTAGAACTGCTTTCTGTTTTTAAAAAAGTGATTTCATAATAATAAAAAATACTCATAGGAAAGGCAAACTGTTTGCTTTCAGCAAGAAACCCTTTTATTTTAATATTTTGAGTTTAATAGATCACATTAAGATATCCTACTATTGTGTGATACTAAACGAAAGTTATCTTTACTATTTGCAGTGTAGTGGACTAGGCTATTATTTACATTGACTATATACAGAATGTAATTACTTAAAATTAAATATTTCAATTAAAATATTTTAATTGGGTTTGAATTTATTGTGGTTTATTTTTTAATAGGTAATTATATAATTTGACCCTGCTCCCTCAGTGTACATGTATTTTGTCACTTACAATGGTGTTTTTGTTTAAGGGTATACCTAGCTATTAAACAACATGTTTCTAAAGGAGTTTCCAAGATCAAGTAAGTGTTACCGTTCTCACTTTGCTTCATCTGCTCCATTTACACAGGTTTTTATGTTTCTCACTCATTTTCCCTAATGCAATTAGGTTAGGTTTTAGGGGTTTTTTTTGTTTTATTTTGGTTTGTTTTTTTTAAGAAAGAAAAGATGTGCATGCAACATAATTATTAACACCAGTGTCTTCTCCAGTTAAGTTCTTTTAGTCAACAGTTCCTGGAAAAATAATAAAATGGATTTCATTGTGTGCTTGTCTAGGAGAGACTATACCAACTCTATGTTTCAGTGGCATTTAGGCACTTAAATATATAACTTTGAAACTCAAGCCTTCAATATTTTTCTAGGTGGCAAATATAATTCATTCAAAGCTAAATTCACATATTTAGATTTCTCCTAACACACTTATTTATACACTATCTCCTTTAGCATATATTTTAAATATACATAAATGTCTGTACATGTATATTCATTTCTTTCAGCAAGTCTTTCATTCTTCCTTGATTTTAACAAATGCATGGATGCATCCTTTTAAATAACATAAAATACTTAATAAAGGATAATGAGATAGGACTTGGAAAGATTAAGGAAAAAATAGTGATAAAGTAGATGAACTTGAAAAGAGATACTGATCTGGAAATGAACTGTTAGTGCATACTAAAAATCCATGTAACTAAGAGATGACTCAATGACTCAATGACTACAGAGGATAGTGGACTGATTTTTGCAGCTAATATATGGTAACAAACAAACTAATCAAGCTACAATCAAATTATGTAAAATGCATTGCAAATATAGTGTACAAAAAATGAGGGAAAATACCTGAAAACCTTCCCATGTCATTACTAAATCACATTTGTATAAATAGTTTTGCAGAGATCAGATTTCATGTATATTTAATTAAGTAAATTATCTACTATATATTTAAATATTTGATATAGATCACCTTATATTTTATGTCAGTCTTTCAGATTGTCTTTTTTCTCATCTATTTCTACTTTGAGGAGATCCATGGAATTCTTCCCACTTTTTCAATAAAACTAGTAAAATTTTTATACAGGAAAACCTAACCATGAATGACACAATATGTTTAAGAAGGAACTGGGATTTGTTTTGAAACAGAATTTGGAAGATAATACTTTAAATAGATAATGAAAGTTTGATTTTATGCATGATTATTGAGTTCTTAAATGAGGGGTTTTAAAACTTTACATAATTGTGGCAATAATTCCTTAATAACTTAACCTCTCAGGTTTGATTTTGGTGTTGGTTACTAATTGAATTATATCATTTTATCTTGCATAAGGAGGTGGTTTATATCTGTATCTCTAAAATTGGAGCCCAGCCATAACGTTTGTATAACTGATAAAAATCTGTTACTCTGCTACACTGAAGCACACTTCCTAATAATTGCTATGAAAATAAATTAGTTAAGAGTACAGAATTGAACACAAAGGTTATCACAAACCTTTTACCTGAAATTATGTGATCAACTTTATGCATTATGAATTAATTTAAATCTTAAGAAATTACTGTATTCTGCTTTTCAATAAGTGAGGGATGAGAGACAACTGATTCTCTGGTGTACCTGGGTTTCAAGTTCCTAGTAGCTACATTTTGAGCTTAATTTCCCGAATTATACAAGATTTGTAAATTTGTTAAAAGAAAACATTGCCATTAAACTCAAGGTAAGAAACTATCATACATTGTTTTATGTATCTTTATATAAAAAGTTACAAGTAGCAAGCATATGACACAGAAATGGAACAGTAACAGCAATAATTGTGAGTGCATGCTTTTTACAGTGTATCTAATAAAGGGACATTTGCCAACTCAAATATTCAGTAACATACATGCAGATTAATTTCTCAATGTCAAATTCAGTCATATTGCTAGATGTTTATCCAACAAACATTTCTATTGAAGTGATTATGAATGGCTAAATACCTGATTTCAATAAATTGTTCCTGAAACTGGGAATTTAACTTGCAACAAAAAGAAGAGAGAAAAAGAAAGAGAGAAATGACTGATGAGCATAATAACTAAAGTCTTATTGCCTTCTAGTAATTTTACTCAATACTGTTTGCTGAATTTTGTCATAATATAAGAATAGCTGATCAGAGAGTCCATAAAACCTCTAGCTGGTGTTTCCAAGGATGATAGTTTCACATTTCATTGTAGCATGTTCAAAATCACCCAGGAGCGCACTATTCTCAAGCAGTCTATATAATGAAAACAACGTACATATAACAAAAGTTCAATGTAAATCTTCTTTCACATGTCACACAACAAACAAGTAAATAACAGACATAAAACTTATCAACTGAAATAAAACTAAGAGAAAAAAAAAAGGGGTAGTCTCAGTTAGGAACTAATTTCTTCTTCAAGTTTGCAGCAAATCTCCAAATGTATTTAAAAACTAAGGAGCACTTAGTGGCCAGCAACCAAATTACAAAAGAAACATATTATTGTGCAGTGGGAATAACTTGCTAAGGAAGTAAGATATGTCTGTACTTCTTATATTTGGATAAAGGCAATGAAATTAAATTAGAAACACATTCACTCTCTCAGACAGCTGAAGTAATTCACTCTAGGTTCTTCCATTCAGAGTTTGCATGACTGCATGGATAGTTGTCTGAAAGCAAAACAAAGATCTCTCTATGAGGAAAAATTCAAAAAATTGTTTACCTAAGCTATCTAGAAGCAATAAAAGCATTAATGGATTATTTCCCAGTAAAATTGCTTTATACATATATACACATATAAACATGTATATACACATATCAATGTTTATATATATACACATATGCATATATAAATTGTCAGACTAGCAGCTGTCTATAACTTCATTATAAATATCTGAGATTATATTTATTGAGATGAAGTGTTGATAACAAATTATACAAAATGAAAAGCTTAGGAAAAGACTCAAAAAAGGAAGTTTAATTTGCAAACATTAACATTAGTGCTACAGAATCTCTAAATTTATCAGTCCTACCACGTACTCTTCCCCCCTACAATTCACAAGGTTGAATGAATAAAATGAACTGAAAACAGATCCACATCTTTCTGTCTTGGGTTAGATTGCCAAGTTTTGCATACTATTTCACATGCTGGGACTCTAAATTTTATTTTCATAAATAAAAAATAAAAAAAGAAACAACAGAGCCATGCAAAGCATCTGTCTTTATAATATCTTTGGAATGAAGATTATATTTAGCTAGGGGATGATTATAGTGCTGTTAAGAATAGGGAATTAATAGATTTTGCTTAGTTTAAAATGCTAAAGTGGTCATCTGTCTCTCCGTTTCCTTAGTATTCAAACCTGGCTCTCTCCATACAAGGTGACTTATAATTTGAGAACTAACATGCGTTTTAGCAATATAACAAATAAAATAGAAAGCAACAGATGATTCAATTGTTGTATAGTTGTTTACTTACCTCAAGTTTGTCTCTTAGACCCTAGTTGTGTTGTACTCAGACTCATGTTTGCTTAGAGACCCAATGAGGCAGAACCTGGAATGTTATGGCTATTTCATTCAAAATAATAATATTTGCACAGAAAAAATAAAAATATGCATATAGATACTTAATAAACAGTACTACTTGATAATCTGCTCAATATTCATGAAGTAATTAACATTGGCATGCAATTAGATTGAAATAATCAAATAACTTTTTTTTAAGAGACAGAAATGCCTTAATGTGCAAAGAAAATATGGAGGGCATGTAAACAGTCACAAGAAGTGCATAAATAATGCATGCAACAGAAAACACACATATAAAAAGTTTCTGTGTTCTTTTTCAAATAAATGGTTCATAAATGTTTCTGCTTTTCTTTTTCTTTTACTTGTAAACTTTTAATCGTTCATATTTACAGTCATTCAAAGTGCAATATACAGTAGAAATGGCTCTTATTAAAAATATCATGCTTGAATTTACTCTTTTATTGATTAGAAAGATTCCTTTTAACTACACACTTATATGTAAATATATAAGTATTATCTATTCACTATGTTGTTTCATGTTCTAATCGAGATCTCTATATATGTTAATATGACCAGACAAGATACTGTGATTAATAATGGAACAGATACAGTAAAGTTTTACAAATATTGTAATTCATTATATAAAAGATAATGTTTGATGAGAAAAAGGTTTTCCTTACTCCAGGATTGTTTCTCATTGTTGTGCCATGCATCAAAATGGATACAACTATTTTTTTATTTATTGATGTATTGATTTAGAGATGCTAAACCAACAGTGGATGATACTCAAGGCCACCTCAGTTACAAGGAAACCACATATATGTGGTTCTTTCAAAAACTAGATTAACGTAAAATGTTCTTTGGTTTTTAAAACTTGTACCTGTTCTCTGCTGACCTGTAGGTGTACGCATGTGGGTGTGTGTAAAATAGTAAAAGAAAAAGAAAGATATAAAGTAGAAAGGTAAAACTGAGATAAAGAATCCTTCAGGAAAGAGGAGCAGAGATGAGAGAGATAATATAATGGTATGTGATATCAGGAAACAGAAATTTAAACAATAAAAACTGAAGAAAGAAAATATGTCTTTACGAATAAAGAGTGAATGTTTGGGTAATCAAGTCCTTACACAATAGTCTTCATCAAAAATCTATTGATACTGACCGCTGAACAGCTTTATCATGTCTGGACAGCCTGTGACTTGTGGTTGGTACCTCTTCAATTTCGTCTATCTCACACGCATCTGCAGCATCTTGTGAGTAGCTATGCTTCATGACAAGGATATTTCTCCTGTTCATGGGCTGAATGAGTGGTTTTACAGGCTGGGGTTGTATTTCTGTCAAGACAGAAGCATCTCTTGTGCTGAGGTTACTACGGCTGCCCTTAATGCTAGACACTTGTGATCCACAGTGATGGTCATGAATGCATTTTGAAGATGATCTCCGCAGTTTATGATAATTTTCAAAGTCATCTGCAACATCAGCAAGGTCAGCTGTAGTCCCTGTCCCTCTGAGGGTGCATAACTCATAATGAGGAGGCTCAAAAACCTCCTGAAACACTGTTTGATCAAAGTCTGTTTTCCTTTGGACAAATTTTTTACGCGGCTGCTTGATCTGTACTATAACAGAGATAACAATGAGGATGATGACAATGCAAGAAGTCACCCCAATAATAGTCCCACTGGTATTGGTAAGTTGGTCCAATAGGTTAGCTTTTCTTTTTTCTGTGTGATAGGAAAAAAAAAGAAAAAGGAAAAAAAATCACATTAATTGCAGTTTGGCAATAAAAACAACCATGATGGTTTCACAGGTTACTGTAAAGCTGAGCCTAGTCTATGTGTGACAGTCTCACTGACAAAAAGAAAAAAAGGAAGAAATCAGGTATTGGCAAAAGCCAGATAAGCAACACATGTCTTCTGTGTGCCTATTCACTTGGAAAGCTATTTATTCAGGGTATATTACAAGCTTAATTAGAGGAAAGAATTATTTACATTTTTTATAAAAAGCAACCATCATATCAAACAGATGGCTTTAGTGTCATCTCTGAACTCCATTTGCCTGCTAACGTCCCCAAGACTGTTACAGATGTTCTCTTTATTATTTTCTGTCTCTTCTAGTAAATATATGCAACTAGGACATTAAGACCAATGAAAGAGTAAGACTTTACAGGATTTTAAAAGACATTCCTCTTTGCATTGGGAACTTTGATTAAGTCCTAAATTTGAAGAGCTAGCTGGGACTATTGACAGTATTCAATGAAAAAGCTAAATTAGGAGAAAATAGAAGTTATTCAAATTGAGGTTTCAGAAAGAAAAAAAAAAAAGAAAGTGCAAGTTATTTCTTTTATTCCTGACCTATTAATTACCACAACCTTTCTAAACAGCCATAAAAATCCAAAAGCTGATCCTACCTACTGCCCTTTACTCAGGGGCCTCTAGGAAGTTAACCAGCAAATTCAGCATTGTGAATGAAGAAAAACAGAAAATATGAAGTATAAGAATAAAAAGAAAAAGTTTCACCCTACTGTTGTGTTTATTGTTCTGGGATTTGCTTTCAAATGGCTGCAGACACATGAGATGGTGACTGAGCCTTGTAGAAATCCAAGCTGAAAGCATTCGCATCAGTCTCTCACAAGCATTAGCAAGACTTGACAACTGTGATTAAGTTTCAACACCCAGCTTAGTGTTATTTTTCCTGGCAACCTAAAACATATCAAAGGACTTAATAAAAAGCCTTTGAAATGAAAGTTATTGGCACCAAAACAATAACATCCATGTCTTCATAATCTCCTAGATATGAAAAAATGGACTTTTCAGTGTTCTCCATTGCCTACTCTTCTAGATTCACCTGAGGTTTCTCTAACTGACTGACACAGACTCCGGGGAAGTAGCAGAGTTAGAAAAAGCAAGACAGCAGCAAACAACCTTTTTGCTGGAATCAGCAAACCTCCTTTTTATAGTCAGAAAAACAAGGGAGAATAAATGCACAAGAGCCAATAAGAAGATACTTAGCAAATGAAAGATGAAAATCATTCCAGAAATTGAAGAGTAAGGAAGATTTTCTGTTTTCCTGTGTGCTGAAGAAGTAGAGAATAGACAATTATTTCCCAATTGTATGTTTATTTTCTTTGAAGCACATTTTTCCATGCCATAATTTTGCTGTGTCCTTTTAAAGTATATTTTCATTTGTGTTTTACTCTATTGCACTGCTTGTCAGGATTTTACAGGCTTCAGCAGACTTATGGCCTGACTGTTAATCCACCTCATTCTGAATTGTTTCTTGATTGGATCCTAAATTTGGCATATCCCATGTTTCCAGGAACAAATCTACAGTAGCGAGGAGAGCGGGAACGGGAAGGAAACGAACAGTCTCCCTATCCTTCAGTGTAAATTAGTTAAACTCTTTTCCCTGAAGATAACACAGATGATTTTTTTTTTTTTCCTGAGAAATATAGAGCAATATTTAGAAATCATTGTCAGTACCTGGTTAGGAACATCTGTCCCTACCTGTGAAGTAGACATTATGCCCGATTTTCTGTGCTTATTCCTTGCTCTTCAATTTCACTTGATTATAGGTAGATTTGGTTGCTTTCTTACAGTGTTAATTCCACTTCCCCTTGTCTTTTTAGTCCATCTGGGCTATTATGGGCATAGCATGCAGCTAAAAGACACCTGCTACCTATACGTTACTCCACTACAAAGGTAACTATGAGAAAGAAACCAAAATATGACCTTTAATTACATCTTAGATTGTCCATGAAACAGAGAAAAAGTTATCAGAAAGCCTGCCAGAAGGACATAACCAATACAAATAAACAACAAGCAAGAGAAATGCAAATACTGAAAGTGAAATCCATCACTATTTTTAACTCTCTTCATTTTCTCTATTGCTTGATGTACGCTCTCCCTGAATTACTCTTCCTGAGCTTTGACCCATCTAGCACATACTTAACAAGAAACTAGGGATAATATGCTGTGTCCTATGCAGTCTAAATGATTTAACATTTTGAATTCTACACATTACCTTTGCAGTGGTTTTCATCCCAAGGATACACACAATTCTGGAGTCCATTGCAGACCAATGTATTATTAATACACATGTTACTGTGGCAAAAGAATGTGTTGGCTTCACAAGGGGCTAAAAATAAGAAAAAAAAGGTGATATTAAGTAGTAACCATTTGGCTCTCTGCAACAGACACGTCCAGGAGTGATCATGTAATCTGTAAGAGGAGGAATCTATGCAAGACAGGCTCCTTGAGTATATTTAGTATTCAACATGCAGCATTGAAAGCACTCAAGTCACTCACTGCTTATTATTCTGTGGTAAGAGATTTTCAGTTCTAAGATGGATAGTGTGACTCTCACAGCTGTAGAAGGTTGCCCCCCCCCATACCTTGGTGAGTGGTCATTGATGTGTTATCAGTAATTTTAGCCACAGATACAAAACATAGCACCCTAAGAGCTGCTATGAAAAAAAATTAACTGTATCCAAACCAGATCTGGTGCATGAGAAATAATTTGTTTTAAATTTTTTTGCTGAAACTCCAGTTTTATGAGAAAATTTGTGTGACTCAAAGAAAATATGTATTGTACTTTAGCATCCATATTTTATGTGCCTGAAAATTTATCCACAAACAAAATAAAATTATTTTTAAAACTTTTTGATCATAAGAAAGGCTACAATGAAAAAGTACTCCTTTGATCACAAGTGTGAAGATTAAAAAAACCCAACAGTCTTCAATGTCCCTGAAGTCCATGATCTAGGCGAATCATGGAGACTAAAGCTGCAGGATGAAGGCTTTACTGAAGGCCATGCACTATTACTGTGAAGAAGCAGCTTAGAGGCCATGGGAAGGAATTGCACATGCAGCTAAACTGTGTTACTTAAGTGTTAGGAGATCCTTAGGTGTTGGGGTTGCAAAGATATAATTAAACTCCAAAATTATATAACATAGTAAAGATAAATTACTCCTCGTAATTCTTTTATTTAAAACAAAACCAGATGAGCTTCGTCCATTTAGAAAAAGAGCTATAAGCTTTATCAGTGTTAACTTAGTAGAAATGAACTATGTATTTTTTTAGCTCAAACAACCAAAAAGCATTTTTATAATTATTTTTAAGGGAAAGTTAAAAAATAACCTAAGACTCTTAACTAATCAGAAAGGTGTTAGGATGCTCATATTTTTGATGCTTAGAATCTGATGCTTCATGGCCATTTTTCTCCTCTGCAACTTTAAAAGCAGTTCCTATGACAACATATATGCATAATGCAGAGACTGGCTCAGAGAAGATTGCTTCAGTGGTTTGCTAAGGATGATACAAAGAATTTATATTGTAGAACTTAATTAGTCCATATATCATGTCAAGAAATCCATTTTTCAATAAGTTCAGATATCCATAATTGAATATAATGGCTTCTTCAGAGCAGTTATGGTCTGTTAAACAAATAGTAAATGCCATCAAAACTTGTACACACCCCAAAATACACAATCATCTACTAAGATATAACAGTATACCTATACTGTATCTCTTAGCCAATGCAGAAGATGGATCAGCCAGATTGATTCTGCCCACTGCTCAATTTTTGGAAAAATCTGGCATACCATCTCCTAAGCTGCAGTCACCCTGGTCAGGTGTTAAGTTTTGTACGGGAAAGATTTTACTTTAAACTGGACAGAAAGAGCATAACAACACAGGTGTGTATTATCTATTTGTTACTGTAATTTGGGGACAGTGAGGGCTGTGTCACATTGTGATGTGACACATCATATCGGGGATCCACCAGAAGTACCATCATCCTTTCACACTCTAGCTACAGTTCCTGTTTCTGGGCAAGTCAAGGATCTTTTGGGACTGGTTCTTTCCAACACACAGAAAAAGTCTCATTGCCTGCTCTAAACATAAAAGTGAAACACAGGTGAAGAGAATTTAGGAAAGGGAAACCTAAGAAGACCTAAGTAGCCACCCATTCAAAATACATGGTAATAAGTGTGAAGTGCAGAGGCAGAAAAGAACACCCAAATGACAAATGGAAAAAGCAGAAGGAACAACAGGGGAACAAGGAAAGTGCAGGATTAAGAAAGTTCATGCTAATAAAGCCATAAAGGAGAAAAAAAAAAAAACAAACAACCAAAACACCAAAAACATGAAAAGTGGCATGAAAGGCCTTAGAAGTGAAATGTTGAGGACAGAGTGCTGTGTCTGAACAGGCAGAACCTCTTAGATGTCTGTGACTTGCTCTTTAAAATGTCTGATTTAATCCTAAATGCAACAGCAAATAAAGGATTCAAAGTGGAGGGGAAAAAAAAAAAAAAAGAGAACAATTTAAGGGAAGGACAGACAGTTGTGTGAGGCAGAAATAAAGGAATTTATAAGCACAGTGGTGGTAAGTAGAAAAGGAGGAACTAGAGGAAGGTGGTAAAGGAAGTGAAAGGAAGAGGAAGAAAGAGAGAACTTCACAGCAGAAACAGATGACACTTAAGACATTCTGCACTGAAAGGGATGACAAGAGTTTTTATATCAAATTAAAAATATTGGGAAATGTTTCAGAAATAAGAGAGAAAAAATAAGAGCAGTACAAAAGACTTTTTTTTTCAGATTAAAGAATAAGGGATAATTATGCAAAGTGATGGCAGGGAGATCTGGAAATGAAAGGCAAGAGAAAGGAATTTAAAATAAAATTTCAATTTCTAGAGGAGAGTTATGGCATATGAATAAATGCCAGAACTAGATGAATAGCGATGTAGAGCAATTTCAAAGTAAGTACAGCAACCTAGCATGAGAGAAACCCAAATGTAAGATTCCTAAACCTAATGACAAACGGCCCCTTCATGTTTAAAAAATTAGTATAGTCAAGTCCTCTCTGTGGTTCCTTGAACCTGGACTGATTAAGTTGGACAATAAATCAAAATAATTTGCCCACTCTAATGCTGACTTTTTGTTCTAATGAATGAAAGCATCAAGGGAAGCTGAAAACTTGTCAATCCCATTTTACATTGGAGGAATTAGGGGTTTTTTAACCTTGCAGAGGCATAGCAAAAAGGTCTTGGGATGCTGCATCAAGGACATTCTAGTGATAATTAGAAAAAGATAAATGACCTGGTAATAAACAGGATTATTTTATAACAAGATGGATCTCATCCTGATGTTTTCTTGAAGCTGTTAGGGAAACCAAGATGGGAGTGGAATCAAGCAGAGTTCTGTTTGCTATGGACTACCTGACCAGGGACAAGAAGCAGATGAAACCTTCTTCGGATAGTGGGATGAAACCTCATGTTCGCAGGTCCTGGTCCTTATGGGAGATTTTAACTATCCGACATTTGTGGAGGGCAACACAGGAAGCCACAAGAAATCAAGGAGGTTTCCAGAGTGCATTTATGATAACTTTCTGATACAGGTAATCAATGAGCTGATAAGGAGAGTTCTTCTGGACCTCATACTTTTATGAACAAGCAAGAGCCAGTTGGGGATGTGAATGTCAAGTGCATCTCTGGCTGCAGTGATCATGAGATGGTAGAGTTCAGGATGCTGCAAAGAGGGAATAAGGTAAAGAGTGGGATCACAACCCTGGGCAAACTGTTGAGAGGTCTTCTTGGAATAATGCCATGGGAGGTGGTCCTGGAAAGATAAAGGATCCTGGAAAATTGGTTGATTCTGTAAGATCACCTCCTCCAAGTGCAGTTGTTATCTATCTGGACAAGCAGAAAATCAAGTGAAGGTGGCAGTTAGCCTGCACAGATGAAAAACGAGCTCCTCACAAAATTCAAACATTAAAAGAATATGTACAAGAAGTGGCAGTAGGGTCAGACAAAACCAGCAGAAATATAGAAGCACTGACCAAACATGCAGTGATATAGTTAGGAAAGCTGAAGCCCACTTGGAGTTGACTCTGGTGAGGGCTGTAAAGGGCAACAAAAAGAAATTCTATAGGTATATCAGCTGCCAAAGAAAGGTGAGGAAAAGTGTGAGTGTGATCCTGAATGACATAGGGGACTTGGTGACAAAGGACATGGAAAAGGCTGAGGTACTGAATGCTGCCTTATCCTCCATCTTGTTTTGGTGGGATTTGCCTTTTGGAGTTCCAAGCACTTGAGATGAGGGAGAAAGCCTGAAGCAAGGAAGATGTACCCACAGTGGAGGAGGACCAGGTTAGGTAACATTTAAACAAACTGGAGAGGCATGAGCCCATGGGCCCTGGTGGGGCTGGCTAATGTCATTGCAAGGCCACTCTTGATTATCTTTGAAAGATCATGGTGATTGGGGGAGGTTTCCAAGGACTATAAAAAAACAAATGTCTCCCTACCTTTGAGAAAAGCAAGAATCCTGAGAGTTACGGGTCAGTCAGCTTCATCTCAATCCCTGGCAAAATGACAGAGCTAATAATACTGAAAATCATTTCCAAACACATGAAGGACAAGAAGAGTGACTAACAAAAGGGAAATCACACTTGAGCAACATGACAGACTTCTACAACTGGATGACTGGCTTGGTGAGTGAGGGGACAGTAGTGGATGTTATTTAGCTCTATTTAAGAAAAGCTTTCAACCCTGTTTCCCATAACATTCTTATAGACAAACTGATGAATATGAGCTAGAAAAATGGACAGTGAGTTGAACTGAAGCTGGCTGAACTTCCATGCTTAAAAAGTTGTGATCATTAGCTCAAAGTCCGGCTGGAGGCCAGTCACTAGTGATGTACCCCAGGGTTCAGTACTGAGGCCAATACACTTAAGCCTTTTCTTTAATATCCTGGATGATGGGACAGAGTTTGCAGGCACTGTAAAACTGGGAGGACTGGTTGATAGACCAAGTGGTTGGGTGGCTGTACAGATGCGTATCAATAGGCTGGAGAAACAGGAACTTCAAGCAATTCAACAAAAGGAAGTACAAAGTCCTGTGCCTGAGGAGGAATAACTTCATGTTCTAGTACATGCTGGGGACTGACTGTCTGAAAAGTAAGTTTGCAGAAAAGGTGCCAGTGTGCAATAAGCTGACCATGAACCAGCAGTGTCTTTTTTTGTCAAAGAAGGGCACCAGTATCCTGGGCTGCCTTACAAAGAGTACTGTCAGCAGATTGAGAGACATTATCCTTTCCCTCTACTCAGCGCTGGTAAAGCCGCCTCTGCAGTGCTGTGTTCA